CGCGCGCGCCCCAAGCTTTGTTTCAGTTGAGTTCGTATCTTTTGGAATCGGGGCCGACCCCAGAATTGAGGCGAAGTTCGAGTTGCATCTACAGTTTCCTCGTCTTCTCTGGCGTGAGATGGTCGAGATTGGTCGACTTTGTGTGAATTTGAGACTGCGAGAGGGGTAGGTGCCCTTTCTTAAGCGTCCGAAAAGAGAAAGTGGGATCCGTCGCCCGTGGAGTTCTTGAGCTTGTGTCGTTCTGAGCCTTGACGATGCGACGTGCAAGGAGGGGTCGCGGTCCCTTTTTCGCTCCTTTGGCTTGAACCCCGTGGCAGGAGGAGGACGAAGAGGGAAGAATATGGGGATGGAAGGGGGGGGGTTTTCTCGCGTAGATGTTATAGGGTTCCCAAACGTTGTAAAGTCTGGGTTCCAGAGGCATTGGAAACTTGGAAAACGGGGCTCGTTTGGTTTAAGTGTTTCCTCTTTTCCCCGAGTTGCCGAAAATCGTCAGTCGGCCCAAGAGTCAAGACGGTAGACCAAGCAAAAAAGAGAGGGTCCGTCCGGTCGGTTTGGGCAGAGGTTGCCGTGTAAGGTTCCCGTGCCTCGTATCGGATGACGGGCGGGCGGTTCGGTTGTCAGGTTGGGACGCACGAACTCTATTCGCCGACTTTGCTGGTGCTTGAGACGTGAGTGTGTGTGTGTGTGTGTGTCCATGTGGTTACGCTGTGGTGGTTGGTTGCAACGGGCCGTGAGTCGGGGCGACGTGCCATTTGCAGTTCTAAAATCAATATTGGACGGAACATTGATTACGGCAATGCGGCCTCTGGCGAGAGGGAGGGAGGTGTGTCACTACCGAACCGTGACCGTAACCATACCTTACCGTGAATCATTCAATACGTCTGGTCCAATTTGCAATTGGGCAAACCGGCTTACATGCACTGGCCATGCATCATCCTTAGTGAGGGAAATCATATTACACAGGATGACGGCCGGGGAGACAGGGACAAAATTCGACACTGAAATGATGACTGATGGAATTTTTCTTCTTCTTTTTTTGTGCAAGCCAGACTGATGACAGAAATGCTCTCTTCTCTCAAGGGTCAGGTGGCGAAGGTTTGTGTTCGTAAGAGTGAGTGCCGGGAGGTGGAGAGTGCTCAATTCCCGCAACGCAGATGATTGGAGACCCTGGGGAGTCGGCACGCGAGATCATGAAATGGCGCGCCAAATGTCCACCTGGAGAAGCCACGAGCGTACAAACTGGCAGGTCAGCGCGGGTTTTGCAGCGATGAAGCCGGTAGAGGCTGCGGGCAATATGCAGGCTGCAATATGGCTTACTTTCTGGGCATTTGATGGATTCCATGGGTGAGAAGGTTACTTAGTATGCACAGTCCAGCAGACGGAAGGAAAGCGTCCAGGGCCACCGTCCAAGTCCAGGCTTTCCCTCCTCATTGGAGAGGTGGAAGAGGTGGAAGAGGCGGCCAGGGGTGTCGGGGGAATCAAGGGATCCACTCCACACACTGAGGTCTCCTCGCAGGCGCCACCAATCAGGTCGCTTGGCCGCCCCTGCCCTCACGTTTCGCCAACAGGTTCACCCCTGCGCGCCCAATCTCTCGTGCCCGTGTCCCGCAGATTTCGCCCTTTGCACTCGCAGCCTCTGCAGGCCCTCCTTCCCCCTTTCAGCTCTCGCTCCGCCAGCCCGCACCACCCTACGAACGCCGCACCACCCAACACCCACCCACCACCTGCACCCTCCATCCACTCTGGCTCTGGCCTTGGTCCTGTCCTGTCCTGAGTCCCGTCCTGACCAACCTGCCCTGGACTGGACCACCACCACCACCGTCCTGACTGCCATGCACCTGCACCTGCACCTGCACACACACTCCCGTCTCTTCTGCTGAACACTGACCTGAGTCTCGCGGGAAACACACACACACTCTCAGGTCACTCGCTGACTGAGGTCCCACCCCCCGTTCGTCTCTCATTCTCTCGCTTGCTTCGCCCCCCTCCGATCCGTCCACCCATCCATCCACTCCACCCATTTCCCCCCCCAGGCCCAGCCAGCCCACCGTGCCATCCAACACCCTTCCCAGTCCAGTCCAGCCAGCCCAGCGACGCTTACGCTCTGCCTCTCTTGGTCTGCTCACTTTCGTTTCTTTCATCAACCTTTCGTTCCTCCACCCAACATCTCCAGGTTTTTCTGGCTTCGATTCTGGTTCCGCTCTCAATCTTCAACCACCTCAGCCGCCGCCCGCCGAGTCCCCAATACGTACGATTTCCGACCGACGACAAAAGGAGATTCACGCCCCCGGTTCGCAGTCGTCGTCCTCGTTCTCGACTTTCGGCCGACAACCAACAACCGCCGTTGATGTCTTTCACTTCCATCGCCTAGGCGCCCTTTACCACAACCACCTCAAATGTCGAGCTAGTCTCCCAGTCCTCTCGTTATCCAACTACCTACTCTCGCTCATCCAAACGTCTTCCTCTCTCGCTCTCTTCCTCTCAATCGTCGGCCTCTCTACTCCCCGAATACCTCGCAGATCCGCCCGTCCATTCCAGTCTGGACCACGCACCAACCACGAATACGCCAGCCCTCCTGCGCAATCCATTCCTCAACGTGCAATCCGACCACCTACGAGTGTCTCACCCAAGCCGACGTTTATTTCTTTCCATTCGCCCATATATCTGTCACATTTCCCTCCGAAATTCGCCTTTTGTTTTCGGTACCGACTTGCGGTCCCTTCGATTCGTCTGTGTCACCAACCCCGACAAGTGATCGACACATTTACATCCAACGGCCTCGCCTTGCAGATCGGCATCGCTAGACCAGCGTTGTCGACCACCTCTTCCCTCCCATTCACCCATCAGCCAGATCGACAAACATCATGGCTCAATTCGACCCAAACCTTCACCTTCGGTCGCTCGAGGAGCTCCACGCTGGTATGTTATTGAACAGTCCAATGCCATCAGGCCTTGCTAACAGTCCGCCGCAGTCATCCTTCCTAGACAGAACGGCTGCCTCAAGTGCGAGGACAAGGCCCCTTCCTGCCCTACCAACTGCAAAAGCGACGAGTATTGCTCATTCACCATTCCGACATGTAGCCAGTGTGCCCAGGCAATCTGCGTCAAGGACGACAGCAGCACAACGACAAAGTCAAGCAGCGGCCCGAACACAGGCGCCATCGTCGGCGGTGTCATCGGTGGCTTAGCATTCATCGCAATTGCCACCTACCTGGTATGGAGGTTCTTCATCAAGACTAAGCGCCAGTCCATTATCCAAGAATCGTACATCGAGGACGTCCACGAGAAGACCATCAACGAGAAGCTCGAGCCGCCTCGCGCAACCAACCGCGACTCAACACACACCGTCCACTCGATTGCGTCCACAGTACTGACTCGAGCTTCCAACATAATCCAAATCGCCTACATTCCCGGCGTTACGAACCGAGCGACGCCCACTTCTCCGACTCTCCTCGTCCCTCCCGTGCCACCTATCCCGATGCACGCATCGAACTCCGCCGCCAGCAGCCCATCCTTCCACGAGGAGCCTCACTTCTTCGTCCCCGGCGAACTGCGCGACTCTACCTACTCTGGCATCTCCGGCTACTCTGACCGAACCTCCGTTGCGAGGACCTCGTACGCTCCCCGTTCCAGCATCGCTCCCAGTATTGCGTCGACCATCTACGGCAAGAACGCTGTTGTCGTGGCACCCGCTCAGACAGGCATGCGCGCCAAGGCTGCTGTAGTCAGTGTCAAGTCTTTGGGTGTGGGCACGAGCGGCAGCAGCACTCCTCCTGTTCCTAGCGTCGACTACGAAAAGTACAACGGCCGCCCCAGAAGCCGTGACAGCACCTTCAGCGTCGGATCTACCTTCCTGAACAACGCAACCACCGCGACCGCAGCCCCCGTCCAGAGAGTACAGGTTGTCCGCGTCGGAAGCGGCAACGGGCCCAAGCAAGTCAGCGTCGGCTCCAAGGCATCATCATCAGACCTGTCTGTGCCTGGCACTCCTCCACCACCGACCTCCGCCGGTCGCGACTCAACTGCCGTGACAGTTATCGAGGAGGTGGAGAGCCCGACAGGAGCCGAGGGCCCCTTCTCCGACCCCCCTGAGCAACCCAAGTCCGCCCGCAGCAACCACAGCCTCAGTGCAGTCATTGAGGAGGCGACAAGGCGGGCTGCCGCAGGCCCCGACAGACGGTCAGCAAGGACAAGCTCGTACGAGCGGGGTCGCAGTCCCTTTGGCGATGAACACGCCACCAAGGACAACTAAATAACTCAAAAAACTACAAAAGCCATATGAACGGGCGTCGGCCCTGATCACGATTTACTTAACACTATTTCATTTGCCCATATATCAGGGATGACTTCCCACGTTTCTTTCTCGTATCTACCTTTTTTGTAGACGACCCGGTTGGAACAAGCCTACGGGACCAGACCGAGGGACGACTTTGGATGGACAGGACTCTTACGGACAAGGCACTGGCGTCGTGGATATTTTGAAGATTTTACTTGCCAGGGAGGAAATTATTTGAATGATGCGTAGAGGTGTACGTCTGCACATTACGCCTTTACCTATGTGTCTACTGAATAGAGATGAGATACTCCATCCATTACACTTTTTTCTCTACCTGAGCCACTATTGAACATGCAACTGCTTGTGATGATCCATGTGAAATGCCCCTTTGTGGAATGTCTTTGCACGTCATTACTCGTGCGGGACGAGAGGCGCAGGCAGATTAGGGGGCACGTCGTCAGCGTACGGGTAAGTCGGCGCTGCCGCGTGTGCGTGTCACGTGGCCCGGGAGCATCGCAATGGAAGTGCGGGACGATCGGAATGTTTTGCGTGTTTTTGTGTGGTTGTTGTGGGTGCGGGAATGAAGATCTGGGTATCTTTGACATGTCGATTAGTATTTGCAAAAGGCGATGAGAAGCGAGCAAAATGTGATTGAAGGATGAATGTGCAAAGAGGATAGAGGTGCCGGTTGGAACAAGATGGGCCAAGAATGCAAAAATAAGTGTTCCGAAACCGAGAATCGAACTCGGGGCTATGCCTAACCTCTCACTTGGATGAGAGGGCATCATGTTGGCCACTACACCATATCGGATTCATGAAAGTGCTGACCAAGAAGATGACTATGTAGCTCTGCGAATGGGGCTTGCTGCTGTGCGCGTGCGCTCGGGCGTTGGCCCCTGGGGTTGGGGATTTAGTGCGTGGGGGCCCCTGAGGACCGTGGACTTTGAGATCTCCAGGTATATCAAGGCTGTGTTTCTTGGTCGCTAGGCTTTTGAGGAACTGCAAATGGCATTGGAGTTCGGGAATAGTTTCCCCTACGAGGAAATGTAGGCTTTAAGACTGAATGGCCTTTCGGTCTGCTGGGAAGGATGTGGGAAGAGTGCGGGATGCATTTCTGCCCTGTCCGGGTGCGAGTATGGTGCTGAATAGTTGGGAGGGGAAGACGGCGGGGGACGATGGCGGTTCGGTATGTTTTGAGATGCTATGATGTATGAAATGCAGGTCTGGCTGGGAGCAAGTGGTAGACGAACAATCTTTTTCATTTCCTTGTCGGGACCAGACCAGGACCTCGTATTGTTTTGGCTTCTTTTGGCCTTCTTCTGTGTTGCGCTCGATTTTATATCGTGTTGAGAACTGGCGGCTGAGGGGGTGAGGTTGTATGTTGTGATAGGGTGAGATGGCTGTATAAATGTGTGCTGTTGCTCCCTTTCTTTCAGGGAACCACGGAGCAGGCAATGCGGGACAGATAGAGGGCGGTTTACTTCTACAGTTTGGTGCGAGAGGGATTATGGCGATGATTTACTGCCAAGGTGAACGTGTGGCTGACTGTCGCGAGGATCTTGCTTCATGAATACGGGGCAGGATATACGAGGGGTGATGGACGAGAGGGTTTTCAGAGCGTCGGGTGCTGATGGAAAGTTTTGGCCGCATTGTTTTGAGATATGGTGACTGGGATGCCGTCTGCGATGGTGTACGGTTCTTGAAACCAATTGCCCAAAAGAGCAAGTAAATTGCCTGGCTTGAAATTCATTCATCAGCGCGTTAGCCCGTCGTTTTATGTATTCGGGGATCGCTAATCGAGAACTTGTCGGAAGGGGCGCTCGCATGATCTGCTCGTCTATAAATAAGACGTGTGTTTGACGTTTGAGATAGCCGGTCTTCAATTGGCCCGGTCAGCGTCGCGTTCGTATACAGATTGTGAACACCTTTGAACCCCTTTTCAAATGCATCTTCCTATAATGAGAGAGTTGAGTTGAATTTGTTCTAGTCTTCGGGAATCGGCTTTTCGGGGCTCTCGCGTCAGGTGTGTATTCGCGGCGAATGAATAAAGGTTTAGTGAGTGGTGAGTACTAGGGGAAAGAATTGATCAAGACCGGGGTTGATCTCTGAGCAGGGCGAGAGCTGTGTGTGTCTTGATTGTTTCCGCATAGATCCTGTCCTTCGAGGCATACTTTCGATTGCTCTCTGCCGGGGGGGG